TTTTTTTTTTTTTTGCAGTATGGAGATATTTATAACATTCCCAGCACTGCATTTGAGAATGCCTTAGACAAAGAAGAGATAGAAGATGAAGAAGAGGAGGAACTGGAAGAAGAAGAGGAAGAGGTATTGTCGAAGAAGATTCAATCACTTGATTTAAACATGTGTGTATTGATAGACAAAGAACTTCCACTCACCCATCTTTGTTTTTGGCTTGGACAACTAAAACTCATAGAAGCATTAGTGTGAACTGGGTTAGAGGCTTGGTGATTTCCTCATGAATGTATTGATACATTTTCAAAGTTTTTTGTATGTTTTAAATGAAAAACTAAATTTTTAAACAGGAAGAAGAACCAGAGTTTGTGGCAGAAGATGAGGTTGATGTCAGTGATCTAAGTGATATTGAGGTTGGATTTTTGTTTCTCTCTTAAGTATTTAAACTACCAAGATCTGATTATCAATTCTCCCCTCTATCTGCCAGACATTTCCTTGTAAATGAATTCTGAGAATTTTGCATTAGATCACAATAACAACTTCCACCGGATAAGTTTCACTATTCTCATAAATACCCGTTAGCTAGATAAAGTACATCTATGGGTATTAAAAGGGAGAACTAATATGTGATTATCACCTCTGGGAATTAAAGTGGTTAACAATTACCCCAGTACCTTTTATCTGTCTATCTCCTGTCTGTAATAATGGGGACTTTAAGCAAACCACAACGGCTGCGGCAACAAGAACGTGGAAAAACAATAGATCTAATTGGCAGAAAAATAGCCTAGCACATGCGTTTTAAAACTTTGTACATTTCTTAGCCATCCTTTGCAAAACAACAACATGAAATCACCAAGATTTGTGTTGTCTGCAAAGTGAAACCGCGGCGGCAATTTATTTTAATTTACATTTGGAACTCAATTTATGCGTTATGTCGAGTTTGAGGTCTGGCGCCCTATGAGACGGTAAACACATCTAGTCATTTTCGAAATTCTAACTAAAAATAGAAACTCATTTGTTAATCGACGTCTTCCGTGGCATTGCCGTCCTGACTGCTTTAAGTCCCTAATGATCAATATGTAACATCCCCCTTACTATGAAAACATTGTCAAGTACCAAGGCAAGGAGAGTAAAGAAAATCAACAACTGAAACTCATTTTGATAGAAAGTTAGCATCTCCCAACAAACACGAATGAAAATGTCACAGTATCAATAATAGTCTGTAAGGAGAAATACTTCATAAATAACTACTAGCATCTAATCTTGGATAGCGTTGTGGAGTCTGGGCTATACAGAGGATTGATGGTTTGTTTTTTGACAAAATTATTGGTATAATTGACTTAATAGCAACTCTATGAAACTTTTTTGGGAAGGTGTGACATGCAAAGGGAAGCTTTTGGAAATGGTTAAACCATTAGGAGGCAAACTGTCTTGGAGCTAACCATTTCATTTTATGCATTATTCCAGGACTTCCAAGTTGAGGAAGGTGAACAAGAAACAGAGAGTGAGGTTGAAGAAGAAGAAGAAGAGATAGAAAAACCTCCTACAAGACATGCAGGACGTAAAGCAAGAGTAGAGATTGAATATGAAGAAGAAAGAGAACCTAAAAGAGCTAAATTAAAAGCTTAATTTGGGCAGGACTTTCAGATAAATTATTTTTAATAGAATACATTGTAGGGATGTTGGACCTTATCATCATTGAATTCATGGCCTATTCGTATCAGGCTGGCCCCGTCTTGATACCTGAGTGTTTTTTTTTTAAACATGTCGGCGGAATCCTGATTTCAGAACCCCAAGATACATATCGGGAAAATAAGTGATTTGGTTCTCTCCAAATTAATAACTTTCAAAGCTGCACACAAGCAGAAGTTGTTTGTAGGCAGCAAAGGGCAATTGGTGTGGTATGCTCTTGATTTATGTTCAGAAAGGAAGTGATTTGCAGCCCTTGCAATACCCAATTTTTGTGGTGAGTTTCTGAGAAGTAACAGTTTTAATAAAAGCTGTACAGTCTCAATTTTGCCATCTGCTGTCTTTCAGTTTGATTTTTATAAAGGTTTATTGGCATTCCAAAATGAATTGGCTCTTCTTTTTAATTAATTTTGTGGAGACCCTTATGAGATGCATTAGATTTGCTGTGTAAATAGTGTAACCTTGAAGAGTGCACTTGAAAATAAACCACTGATGGAAAAAAATTGATTAGCAAAAGAATTTCTTCATTGTTTGAGCATGTTAACAAGCACGTGGGCACTGCCATGATAAACGTTGAGCTTGTGGGGAGTGTTGCATGCATTGTCTCACACATATGTTTCATATGTTTGTTGTTGATTGTCTGCATTCTTGTCCATTGCAAAGTGATTGCTTTTAACCCAATGCCTGTGAGAGCTTGCTCACACATTGGTGTTATTTGTCAAGGCTGTAGCCAGACTTCAGGACAAGACAAGGCTATTTTTGAGTGCCGAAGGCGTGAGCAGCTAGGGGGGTCTGGGGGCATGCCCCCCAGAAAATTTTGAAATCTAGAGGTTCAAAAATGCTCTTTTAAGGATTTTTCGTGGCATTTTTCTTCAGAAAAGTCAATCTTCAAAGAAAAAATTTAAAAAAAGGCCAAAATCAAGATGAGGCAATTGCCTCGTTTTGCCTCATGCTAGCTACAGCCCTGTTTGTTAATTGGCACAAGATATAATCCAAGTTCTAGGGGGAATAGTCAACACAGTTTCAAAGGAACTGTCCTAATCATAGGTGCAAACCCTTTTTATTTCATACTACTTGAAAAAACTCTTGATTATTAAAACAGTTAAAAAAAAAAAAAAAAAGACTGTAACCCATATCTTAACTACTGGTAATACATGTGGCGACATCCAGAAAAAATCAGGCTGAAGAGGTGCTCTGCCTAAATAAAAAGGACATCCCAACAGTAGCTTCAGCTCCTTTCTACTCTCTCTCCCCCCTCCTCCTGCAGTACCCCTCCCCCCCTCCACTGCCACCTTACTCTCTAAATATCCAGTATACTGTTACAGTAGCCAATGGGTTGATTTATCCTTGGAAAAATCAGGCTAGTTTTTTTTTTTTTTTGCTTAGATGCTCCAAAAAGAAAAGGGAAAATTATGCTGGCTTATTAATATAGACTTTTGGACAAAAAAATAATACTTTTAGCCTTCAAACCACTGGGCCTTGTTCTTTAGAATTCCACTTCAAAATAGTGCTGCCAGTTTGGTAAATGTCTAATGGAAAACAGGAACACAGCTTGAATTGTGAGCACAAGGTTTCATTGTGTACCCAAAACAAGCAAATTTGTACCCAAGAATGTTTTATTACATTGGCTAAATTTTCATACATGTTAAATTATCACAATAAGCATTTTTTTTTTTTATCAACAGAGGTCTCTACCTATGACTACCTAATCAAGGAACAAAATAAACAACACAAAATTACTGTATTCACATTACATAAGAATTTAGAAAAATAAAACTGTACATACAACATTTTGTGGAACTGTACATATAATAAGCATATTTGACACCTTTTTATTGATATAGTTATTATTTTAGACTGCAGTTGTTTTTCAGAATGTTGATGACACTTACAATGATGGAAAGTTAAAGTGCCTATGACACTTATTTTTTTTCTATTTTACATCAAAATATAATGACTCTTAAACATGTTTTTGCAACATTTGTGGTATTTTGCCCTTTTTTGAATTTTTATCAAGCTCTATAATCCGCGGATAAAATGCCTGGCTGAGCAAAGAGGGTGCCATGACGTCACAGTAGGCATCTTCTTGAGAGAAATATTCTTCATTGAGTCAGGGGTATTCAAAAAACCCCAAACTACACATCGAAATGGCATTTTTAGGCTAAAAAGATTGTAAACAGTAGCTTCCACACTCACTTTGCTTCTTTGATAAACTTGGTGGTGCTACCATTACATCATGGGTTCCAGTACTCTTTAACGCGGCCAAAGAGATAGGGGGAGCCTAAGTTTGATACAATTTCGTACTTTTATCACCTCGTAAAATAACAAAGATGCATCAGAATCACCTACAAATCTTACCAGAAACCCTCTACATACTTCTATTTTTATAATTTAATGCTAAAAAAATAGGTGTCATAGGGACTTTAAGTGGTCACACAATTTGCTCATGTTCCAAAATATTAACTCAAACTGGTCAAAACCCCAAATACCTATAAGAGACATGTCAAAAGAAACATATTTGTCCGAGTAACAATAATGCTATATTTATCTGCATAGCAAATTTTCTTCACTACTATCAAAAAATTTGAACTCTATTGGATGAGTATGTCAATAATCTGTACAAGGAGTACTTTTGTCTCTTTCAAGAAATGCTTGATGATATGGTTTTAAACTGCCTGGTATTGTCAGACCCAAAAAACTGTCAGTACCCAAGATATTTCTGGACCCTTTCTCTCGATGTAATTATGGGATTTCAATACCTGGTTTGCAATTTTTTTTTTTAGTTTCTCAGAAACACAGTCTATCAAACAAGGTGTTATACTTGTCAAAACCATATCCCAAGAACCGCATCTGTTTTTAACATTACCTAAATGACAAAAATCATCTTCCACAAAAAGCTGAATAAACTTATTTATAGGGATAATCATTGGATAACTGACAAACCCAAAGCAAACACCTAACAACAGCCAGTCAAACTTACTGTAACTATGACAAAAGAGTTAGTAAGAACTCAAGTAAAGACAGATATAAAAACCAACTTGAAGAAAATCAAGTTGTAACAAGGAATTTGGCTTCAGATTGGTGGAGAGTATCATGCAACTGCAAAATTTTGTGGAAAAAATCATCACAAAATTATTCTTAATAATTATAACACTCAAGTGAAAACTGCTTTAGAAGAAAAGCTAAAATCTTTGTGATTCATGACCAAAGTGTGGCATAATAGCACTCTACCCACCTAGCAACACATTTTTGTAAAGCTTCGAAATTTTTATCATTTCTTAAAAGCTAGTCATTGCTTAAAGTCCCTATTCACAACCAGAGGTTTAGATATATTTCGATTCTTTGTGTTATCAGGATTAATCTCCAAAAAAATTTTTTGTGATTGATTAAATATTTCCCGAGATATGCCACCTCAAAGTTACTCTTTTGGCCATGCCCTTTTGACTTTGCTGGGAGAGATTTACTGGGCCGAGTCTTGGACCTACTACCTTTCCAACATTCAGTGACGTCACTGCAAGAATCCATAGATATGTTAATATTCTCTTTATGTGCTTTTAAATGGGTAAATATCTCAGAAAACAACAAGAAAGTCGTACAAGTCTACAGAACATGTAGCTTCGCGTAGTCAAGTGAATGTAGGCATATCGATCGTAAGACGTTCTAGCTGTGACATCATGAGGGACATTTAGTTACCAGTATTAACTTCGCCGGGCCAAATGAAATAGGCGTGGCCAAAGGACGAACTTTGAGGGGGCATATCTCAGGGAATATTTAATCAATCAAAAAAATTTTTTTTTGAGATTAATCCTGATAACACAAAGAATGGAAATATATATAAACCTCTGGGGGTGAATAGGGGCTTTAAGAACTTAATCCTTTGCAAAGAATGCACTAAATTACAATTTATTGACAAGATTTATTTGCTACTTGTTTCTACATTTCCACTATAAATGCTTATAAAGTTTTAAGGGTCTTGCAAAAGTTTTGCTTCATAACTTGGCAATATGATGAGCCTTATTCTAGATCAGAGTTCAACTTTCTTAATTAAGGAATGCTTTCCTTACTCCACCGCACAAGAAGTAATAAAAATTAGCTCATGATGGACCTCCATTTGCATGTTATCATGCTCATCCAATTCATCAAATGCAGCAGTCATATTTTACGTCATTTGACACGTCACTTGACAAGAAATGTGTCACACAAGTGTTCATTAATATATTTGGAGATATCACTGTCACAATGATTACTCTCATCATTGTACCAGGAGAGACAAAAAAGTGATCTCAAGGCATGATTAATGAAGAACTTCTCACGCAATGTCAATTGTAACTGAATCACAACAGTTTCAGTTTATACCCAAAAATAAAGGTATGAAACTTGAATTTAAAAAGTAATCTATGGATTGATGTTCATAACATTATTAGCAACAATTATGATGTGCCAACAGAATTAAAAGCATATCAAATTTCATTTAAAAAAGGCAAAAGACTTTGTCTCATTACTTTTGGAATCAAAGAACTTTCGAGATGTTTCACATGAGATGCAAAAAAAAAAAAAAATACATCCATTAATTACATATTAATTTTTTTTTTAAGATCACATTGCCAAGCACAACTAGCAAAATGACAATTTTTAATTAGATTCACTTCAGAGCCTTATTCTAGATCAGAGTTCAACTTTCTTAAGAAATGCTTTCCTTACTCCACTGCAATTAGATTCATTTCAGAGCTCTGTTTTCTCTACATTAAAAGCGTCAAATGCTATGTATGAAACAGCTTTTCATATTTTTTTTTCCTGGAAAAAGAGAAAAATTATAAACTAATGGCCTTAAACTTTTTTAGGGGGGTTAGCCCCAATGTCACTTAGTTCTTTGAAACACTTTACTTCCCCTGTACTTGCACACTTTAAGAAAAAAGAAGAATTGGTAAACTTCCAAAAAGTCAGTTTATGCTACAGTCAACTCATTTCACCCTTGAAACCCTAAGAATAGTATACATAATCTCCATACTGTTCTCCGAACATTTCCTTAAGTACTGAAGAGGAGAATTTGTTTAACAATCAGGAGCCTCCACAGTTGGTGATCCTCTACTCCAATGACCTTCTATGTTTGATTCAGCAATGATTTTGTCCATAGAAATTGGATGCTATTCACTCTTGGGGGTTGGAGAGTGGAGGTTTTTTGAGGCAAAACAGTTAAGAATTTATTCCTACAGCAGTCATTAACAAACCTACCTCGCCTACAAAGAACATCTAAAAATAATAAAGGTTGTATCGTGTCAATGAAGACTCAACCAAAGTCAAAAAATGATAAAGCTGTATGCTTCTGGACACAGCAGTGATCAAAGGCATACAACAACAACAATAACAATAACCACTGATAGAAGGATCAATTTGTGACTGAAGAATCCAAATTATAGTAACAATATTTAATCAACTGTACAAAACTTTATTGCCTGAAAACTGTTCTAGTTGTTACAAGGCAAAAAGGAATTTATCTACTATTGTAC